TGCTTTATCACTCTTCCTCACCCAAGCAACAATCACAAACAAGGGGCAAGGGAGTAGACAAATAATGATAGAAATCCCGGCAAGGGAATACAAATAAACAGCTAACTCCCGGCAAGGGAGCACAATTAAGCAGTTAAAACCCGGTAAGGGAACAATATCAATAATCTCAGCATCCCGGCAAGGGAGATAGCCAACAAAGCAACAGGCATCCCGACAAGGGAGCAATTCAATAATTCTTTCTCTTTCTTTCACTTTTTACCTCTTATCTCACTTTACCACCTGAGCCAACGCTCCAAAGGGGTTCAATCATTTCATATACTTTCACGCTTTACGATATACTCGAGCCAATGCTCCAAAAATGTACAAATCATAATTCTTCCCCAAACTCTTTACATTATATGAAATTTATCAATTTAACAAGGAAGAGGTATCACAAAATCCGAATAAACACAAATAAGACTCACGGTCATGCTAGACTCCGGTGTATAGATACTCGTCACCATGCCTATACACCGTACTCAACAATTAGCAAATAGCAAACAACACTCTAATCCTATTCCCTCAAGCCAAAGTTAGAACAAACACTTACCTCGGTCCAAAGAATANTCTAAGGCTAAAACCACTCCGAAACACTTCTGAAACACTCCCGAGCCCTCGGGGCTCCTAACCAAACACACACACTAACTCAACAATATCCTAAAAACTTAACCATGCGATTAAATTGCCAAAATAATATCATAAACGAGGAATCAAACCTCAAAATCATCACTTTTTCATCAAACTTCATAAACTTTCAAACTTAGAATTTTTGGTCCGAAACACGTCAAATGACGTCCGATTTCAACCAAATTTCACAGGAAGCGCTTAAACCACATATGAGACCTGTACCGGGCACCAGAACCAAAATACGGGCCCGATACCAACGCTTTCTAATCCATTTTCATTTCTAATTTCCAAATAAATTTCAGAAAAATAATTTCTTTTAAAAATTTATTTCTCGGGCTCGGGACCTCGGATTTTGATTTCGGGCATGCGCCCGAGTCCCATATTTTTCTACGGACCCTCCGGGATCGTCAAATCACGGGTCCGGGTCCGTTTACCTAAAATGTTGACCAAAGTCAACTTTACTCATTTTAATACCAAATTTTAGCATTTTTCACAGAATTTCACATATAAGCTTTCCGGCTGCGCGCCCAGACTGTGCACGTAAATCGAGGTAACTAAAAATGAGGTTTTCAAGGCCTCGGAAGCACGAAAAAAAAAGAGAAAACAGGTGATGACCCTTTGGCTGGTCACAATAACTATAAGAAAAGAACAAAAAAAGAATTTATGTAAAAGTGATGTGATGAATAAGATATATTTGACTTTCAGATAAAAATAACGTGATAATAAGAATTTTGTTAAGATAATATGATCTAATGTGCTCGAACAAGATAGATCACAATATGGCATGTTTAGTATTCTTTAATATCGATAGCGGAACGAAATACAAGTACCAAAATCAAGGGGTTAGGTTGCTACAAATATATATTTAAAAGATTGGTTGTTCACTACGAGATTTGAACAATAATTTCATTTCATGTTTCATAATTAAATTCTCATGTTATATAATTTTTATCTAAGAGATTTATATTTTAAGATTATTTGTACATAATTCAAATAACCTACATCGCAATTTGAAATAATTTATTCGCGCATCGCACGGGTACTGATACTAGTATTCATTAAAAGAAAAAACTACATTTTATAGATTCTCCCAAAACTAATGTTCAGTAAAATGTATATTTTTATATATTAATTTATAATATACATATATTATACAAATTCAGTATATATATTTTTTATATTTAGTTAGTGGATATAATTATTTTTGGCCGACTGACAAAATGTAAGTTGCCCATATTTAAAATATACTCTTCAAAGGGTACTTATGCAATTTGAGACCGGGAGCGGGAGTTCAACGCGTAGTTTAGAACAATTTACTAATTAAGGAGGTCTCCATAATGGTTCGATAGTGAAAATATATTTACATTCGATATTTATACAAATTATATTAATTAATTTGCATGATTAAGTGATGAATTGAGAAAGAATATAAATTTTTCCAATTTAACGATTAATGAGGGGAAAAAAAGAATATTACTTATATATTTATTGACTTGATATAAACTCACTTTTGGATTCAATAACTACGAGTAAAGTTATTGGAAAAGTACATTAAATGTTATTTGCAATTTATAATACCAGGACTCTATTTTTGGACTCTTACTATTAACTTCGGGCACGTCAGTCAACTTTATTTCGCACACGTCCAAACCAAAAGAAAAAGTTACACAATTGCCTTATATACGTCCAAAAACTATTTGAAGTATTTCAAATTGTTGTAATTTGGTTGTTATATTCAGTTACTCTAATAATATATCTGATTCTTGTAATCTATTATACAACTACATATGAAAAGGCATGTTCTATGGTCAAACAAGAAGATTTCACCAGTTTTTGAATCCATCCTTGGTTTCTACATTTGATCATTTCTCAATCTTTTTACTGTATATATTCTATTTGAATTTTATGGTGATTAGGTACTTAATAAAACCTTTTTTTATACTTCAATATAAGTTAACTTTACTGAAATAAAACCCTTCCGTTATATATATAATCCTTTCCTGATATAATTCGAAGTTCCTATAATAAATTAATAGCTTTTGTAAAAGGAAAATAGCGTTATTTCAATATTCTTTGATTTCAAAGTTCTATTCGGCAGTACAATATCATATGAATGTTGAATGAACGAAAGCACTAAAAAGTTATACACAAGGATGTGGCCTAACGGTCAATTAAGTTAAAATGAACTATTTTTTTCATCTAAGCGTTCGGGGATTATGGATAGAGTTATCCGAGTATCCGACAGATTAGTTGAAGTACATTTAGACCGGTTTAAATACCATCTTTATAAAAAGAAAGAAAGAAAAGATAAAAACAAGAAAAGCCACCACACATTACTTGCTAAAAATCTTCTTTTTGTGAACTATATTTAAAAACTACTACTAGTAATTATGGTCTTTGAATTCATTAAGAAACAAATTTAATAAGTTTACATAGGTATTCAAGGAAATACTAATTGATCCATGTACTATTTAGGAATGAAATCCAGTAACACAAACTCATAAAGAAACAAATATAACTGGAAAATTTCAAGTTTCCACAGTAGTCATATTCACTTAAAGGGAAGTCAATAATGAAGTTTAACATGTTCAATAAACACACTCAAGAAGCTCAAGTGTCATCTGATTTTTGAGTCAATTCCAAAAAGGGATTCTGGTCAATCTCTTCATAACATGAATGAAAACAAGAATCCAAAATGCAGAGCAGAAAAATATAAATACACAGATTAAAAAGAGACTTGTTTTCATTGCTATAAGAAAACCATTTCACTGCATCATAATTTTAGGGTCCTTAAGTTGGACTGCAGGGACTACAAACTGAAAACAGGATTTCTTCTAACTCCATTCTCAGAAAGATAAACATACAGAAAAAAAGGACTAAATAGTTTCAGGCAGATTCTGAGGCAGCATGTATGGGAGGGAAGAGTTTCCATTTTTCGGGACAAATTTTCGCATCCACACATGCTTACCGTTGATAGTAAACTTAGCTTTAGGCACATCATTGAGAATAAAATCTATAATTGCAGGCGTAACAAACACGATTCGAGCATAAAGAGCTTGTTCATGGGACTTCACCTCCTGCATGTGAATGCACTCTATGCAGTCTCCAAAAATCCTAGTGAAGAATTCCCTGATTTCAACTTCAGCAACAGGGTATCCCTTGGAAAAAGTAACAAACATGGTCCGTTCTTCACGTGGTACGTCGCGTCCCTTCGTCCTCTTAGGAGACGCGTCGCTTCCAAGTCCCAATTGAGCAATTCTTTCTATCAAGAATGACTCAGCAAGAGGTGCCACCATCGACACTTCGCTTTCCGTCAAAGTTTGTTCAGAACTTCTCTTCAAGGCTTTCTCCATGATATCTGTCAATGCCTTGAGACAAACCTCAGTAACAATCTTCCTAATCCCGCTGGTGGCGCTGTCCCGATTTTCATGGAAAAATAGGAGGGAGAACTCTTTTGCCATGAGGCTTTGAGTTAGCGGAATCTCACTTGCATCAGTTGAGAGAAGGGATTGGCTGTCTTCAATGCATTTGAGGCAGGTTACAGCCTCGTCAGCAAGTTCATTAATCAAAAATTGAGGTAAGGACAAGATCTTTCTGATAATATCGTTGAAACGTGTTCGTTCCAACCAAATCCACAATGCCAATGTCTGCATCGACTCCAAAGGATCACGCTGAAGCTCAATAACAAGGAGAGAATAAAGTGCTCGGTCAATTGTATGGAAAAGTCTGAATTCCTCAACTGTGATTTGAAAAGGTTTTGCAGCCATGCCAACTCACGTTGGTAGTTATTAAACCTGCGCACGTAAAACCACCACAAATTTCCAAATTAGAAATAACCAAGGTGAAAAAAGCAGGGCAAATTTTATCAGGACAGATAAGCACACAATTGACAAAGGAAGGAGGGAGAGAAGTGGCAATTATTCCACCATAAGAAGACTATTGTGATCCTAGTAAAGATTCAGCATTTCTCTTGTAAAGCAACCAGCAAAAATCCTATGACCTTGCCATGTACAGAAGCAGGGGAGAAAGACAAGAAAACAAAACTAAAGGCAAAATCCTTCATCTGATTGACAAAGCCTAGCCTAGTCTTGGTACCTACAACTCAATAGGAAAGGAGATTCCTAGAACCTAATCGAGGAATGCATAAGCCCCACATTTTCAGCTATACAGGAGACTTAATCGAAGCCAAAATCAAGTGAAGGATAGGCAACAGAAAAGGATAAAAATGCATAAGTCAGGAAAACAAACCAAAAGGTAACGTCAGGGGCAAACAGTCTTCTCAAGAACTCAACTTGCCAGGTAAGTTTACAACCCAACACATTTATAGGTGAAAACACTGGTTTTGCAGGTTAACAAGGGCAATGATCTACTTAACTTGTTCTTATAAATGTTCTGCCAAAACAAAGGGCAGTAATTACAACTTTGGAAGCATTTTCAGAAAGTAATCTTATTTAGTAGGTTGCATTTAATGCTAGTGAGTGCCATTCCAGTAATGGCCAAGGCTGCATTCATAAATTTCTCTTTCAGTCAATTAAAATCAGGTTCTATTAACAACTTCACACATGTCCTACACAAGAAAGGTGAAAAAATCTAAAATCAAGATCAGCTAGGCCTGCTTATTCAATCACAAAATGTGAAAAGATGTAACGCTTTCTCTTCGACTGACGAAGAGAATCTTTTACATCGGGAGAAATCTGTCAAACGAATACACAGATTTGCGGCAACTTGATCTATTTCTAAATAGCTTCAACGACAATTGTACTCCACATTCTACAACATCTACCATAAGAATCAGATTCACAGAATTGGTCTGATAATACAAGTTAGACTCTGGCATAAATTGGGTAGTGCCCTTGTGGTCGAGTGCTCATAACCATAATTGAAAAGCAAGTATCACTAATTTTTGGTAAAATGACTAATCCTCTTTTATCACAAGCTTCCAAAATTACGCTTTATGATGACTCTCCTACATGTCGGAAAACTGCATTGAACAAAAACACGACATTGTTGCATCTTTATAGAAACCAGGACCTTTAATAAATAACAAGATATTTGCTGATAGGAAATGCTTTATTTATAGCGAACCTATTAATGTGCACAACCCGTTAAAGCCGTTAAGTTTCTAAGTGATTAGCACAAGGTACACCATTTGGTCAGTGGTTGTGATGCACAAAGTTTAGCTGGATTTCAGGGATGTCAAAGTTGGGCATTTAATGCCCTCGTGACAAATGGTAAAGGCTAGTTCAACGACTGTTTATTATTATGCCTCAGAAATCATTTGTATTCTTCTATCACAGAAGTTCTCTGCTTTACTTCTGTTTATTGCTCAGTTCATCAGATAGAAACTAGCACCTCCACTCTCAAGTTCACTGCCTTGATTAACAAAAACCTTGCTATATAACTCTAGTAAGATATTTCATGATCCAAATCCTAAGGCACTAGAAACCTACAATTGAGGTAGAGGGTAGATGCATGTCTGTGATGGAACGTGCACCAAAACTTCAAAACATGTCTTAGATTAAATTTTCCAAATATGGTCTTCTTTTCTTTTTGTGAACTAGATTAAAAAACCAGCATGTATGGTCTTTGAATTCATTAAGAAACAAATTTAACAAGTTGACATAGGTATTCAAAGAAATGCTAATTGATCCATGTACTATTTAGGAATGAAATCCAGTAACACGAACTCATACAGAAACAAATATAACTGGAAAATTTCAAGTTCCACAGTAGTCATATTCACTTAAAAGGGAAGTCAATAATGAAGTTGATATGTTCTCTAAACACACTCAAGAAGCTTAAGTGTCATCTGATTTTTGAGCCAATTCCAAAAAGGGATTCTGGTCAATCTCTTCATAACATGAATGAAAACAAGAATCCAAAATGCAGAGCAGAAAAATATAAATACACAGATTAAAAGAGACTTGTTTTCATTGCTATAAGAAAACCATTTCACTGCATCATAATTTAGGGTCCTTAAGTTGGACTGCAGGGACTACAAACTGAAAACAGGATTTCTTCTAACTCCATTCTCAGAAAGATAAACATACAGAAAAAAGGACTAAATAGTTTCAGGCAGATTCTGAGGCAGCATGTATGGGAGGGAAGAGTTTCTATTTTTCGGGACAAATTTTCGCATCCACACATGCTTATCGTTGATAGTAAACTTAGCTTTAGGCACATCATTGAGAATAAAATCTATAATTGCAGGCGTAACAAACACAATTCGAGCATAAAGAGCTTGTTCATGGGACTTCACCTCCTGCATGTGAATGCACTCTATGCAGTCTCCAAAAATCCTACTGAAGAATTCCCTGATTTCAACTTCAGCAACAGGGTATCCCTTGGAAAAAGTAACAAACATGGTCCGTTCTTCACATGGTACGCCGTGTCCCTTCGTCCTCTTAGGAGACGCGTCACTCCCAAGTCCCAATTGAGCAATTCTTTCTATCAAGAATGACTCAGCAAGAGGTGCCACCATCGCCATTTTGCTTTCCGTCAAAGTTTGTTCAGAACCTCTCTTCAAGGCTTTCTCCATGATATCTGTCAATGCCTTGAGACAAACCTCAGTAACAATCTTCCTAATCCCACTGGTGGCACTGTCCCGATTTTCATGGAAAAACAGGAGGGAGAACTCTTTTGCCATGAGACTTTGAGTTAGCGGAATCTCACCTGCGTCAGTTGAGAGCAGGAACCGGTTGTCCTCAATGCATTTGAGGCAGGTTATAGCCTCATCAGCAAGCTCAGTAATCGAAAATTGAGGTAAGGACAAGATCTTCCTGATAATATCGTTGAAACGTGTTCGCTCCAACCAAATCCACAATGCCAATGTCTGCATTGACTCCAAAGGATCACGCTGAAGCTCAACAACAAGGAGAGAATAAAGTGCTCGGTCAATCGTATGGTAAAGTCTGAATTCCTCAACTGTGATTTGAAAAGGTTTTGCAGCCATGCCAACTCACGTTGGTAGTGATTAAACCTGCGCACATAAAACCACCACAAATTTCCAAATTAGAAATTACCAAGATGAAAAAAGCAGGCCTAATTTTATCAGGACAGATAAGCATACAATTGACAAGGGAAGGAGGGGGAGAAGTGGCAATGTGAAATCAGCTAACGAGATTTCACCATGAAGAAGACTATCGTGATCCTAGTAAAGATTCAGCATTCCTCTTGTATGTAACCAGCAAATATCCTATGACCTTACCATGTACAGAAGCAGGAGAGAAAGAAAAGAAAATAAAACTAAAGGCAAAATCCTTCATCTGGATTGAAAAGGCCTAGTCTTGGTACCTACAACTCAATCAGAAAGGAGATTCCAAGAACTTATCGAGGAATGCATAATTCCCCACATTTTCAGCTATGCAGGAGATTTAATTGAAGCCAAAATCAAGTGAAAGTTAAATCTAAGAAAAGGATAAAAGTGCATAAAGTGGGGAAAAACAAACCAAAAGGTAACGTCAGGGGATGGACACTCTTCTCAAGAACTCAACTTGCCAGGTAACTTGACGAACAAACCCATTTATAGGTGAAAATACTGTTTTGCAGGTTAACCGGGTAATGCTCCAATGAAATTGTTCTTATCAATGTTCTACCAAAACAAAGGGTAGTAAATACAAGTTTGGGAGCATTTTCAGAAAGTAATCTTGTTTAGTAGGTTGCATTTAATGCTACTGAGTGCCATTCAAGTAATTGCCAAGGATGTATTCATAAATTTTCTCTCTGTCAATTAAAATCAGGTTCTATTAACAACTTCGCACGTCTTACACAAAAATGGTGAGAAAATCAAACTTCAAGACCAACAAGGCTTGCTTATTCAATCACAAAATGTGAAAATATGCAACGCTTTCTCTTCTACTTACGAAGAGAATCTTCAGCTAGTTACATCAAGAGAAACCTGTCTAATGAATACACAGATTTGCGGCAACTGGATCTATCACTAAATAGCTTCAACCATGATTATACTCCACATTCTACAACATGTACCCAAAGAACCAGATGTTTCACAGAATTGGTCTGATAATACAAGTTAGAATCTGGCATAAACGGGGTAGTGCTCTTGTGGTCGCGTGTTCATAACCATAATAGAAAAGTGACTATCACTAAATTTTTGATAAAATAACTAATCCTCTTTTATCACAAGCTTCCAAAATTACGCTTTATGATGACTCTCCTACCTGTCGGAAAACTGCATCGAACAAAAACACGACATTGTTGCGTCTTTATAGAAACAGAACCTTTAATAAATAACAAGATATTTGCTTCTAGGAAATGTTTCATTTATAGTGAGCATATTAATGGCACAACCCATTAAAGCCATTGGTTGTTAAGTTTCTAAGTGATTAGCACAAGGTACATCATTTGGTCAGGGGTTGTGATGCACAAAGTTTAGCTGGATTTCAAGGATGTCAAAGTTGGGCATTTAATGTTCTAGTGACAAATGGGGAAGGCAGTAGTTCAACGATTATTTATTATTATGCCTCAGAAATCATTTGTATTCTTCTATCACAGAAGTTCTCTGCTTTAGTTCTGTTTTATTGCTCAGTTCATCAGACAGAAATTAGCACCTCCACTCTCAAGTTCACTGCCTTGATTAACAAAAACCTTAATATAAAACTCTAGTAAGATATTTCATGATCCAAATCCTAAGGTACTACAAGTAGATGCATGTCAGCGATGGAACGTGCACCAAAACTTAAAAACATGTCTTAGATGTTCCAATTTTTCCAAAGAAATTCTGGGGAACTTTTTCCTCACACAAGTGTCTTGTTAGACACTCACTGGCATGCAATAAGGGGTCTAAGTTAATGTATCTTCTGTTCGCCAAATTTTTGGTATGTTCCCCATTGAACTAGTTTCTAAACTTTTAACATCAAGAATCACTATCAATTGTTTGTAATTCATATTGATCCGCCAACTTCTAAAACGAAAGTACAACCATTCGATTTTAGATTTAGATATGCTAGTTCTGATAATTACCAAGTCCATTGAAAATAGATTGAAGACTCAGAGAAATACAACCGAACTTTTCTGTTGTTCATCATCAGTCCTCAAGTCATCTTTTTGCTATTGTAGCGCATTTCAACACTTTAATGCTTGTTAAAGTTCATCAGTAATTCCTTTCTACCAGTTGTCTTGATTAATACTATTTTTATTCTGAAACATTACTAATTCACAGTGTCCAAATTTTAGAAGTCCCATGTCCTGTGCGTAAGCAACATAGATTTGCGAACTCACCATTTTCTTCCGTATTCTCCATAGCCAAACGAATGTTTGACATGTTTTGACACCCAAGACATGGCCAAAACATTTTGACAGGTTCCTTCAAATTAGAAAATATAAACACATCCAACACACATGCTCATGACACAATTTGGGCAACTCGGACACTCCAAGGGCAGGCAAGAATTGAATTGGTAACTACTTCTGGGTCAACTTTCTTGTTTTTATTGGTAGATCGTTGAGGTCATTAAAATGCTACCCTGCATATTTCATTTCCTATTTTCCTGGAGTCTAATATAAGAATATCTATGGTAAGTGGCCAAGTTTTCTGTTTTTCCTTCTTTTCTTTTTCAGTTTCTTAATAGCACAATTGAGGATTGCATAAAGTGAGAGCTTGATAGTTCTTCATGATAAAATGATTCTTTCCCAACCTGGACTTATTAGAATGTTGAAGTTATGACTATCACAAGTGATTATAGCATGCAGGTTCTTTCTTATCTTACTTCCATCATTTTTTTTTTGTCGTT